TCCCAGTTACATTCCCAGGGAAATGCCCTCAACAATCTGCACAACAGCACTGCCATTTCTGCAAACCAGAGCAGGCTCTCTGCCCTTTCTGGCAGTGCCCTAAGTGAGATACTCCAATGAACTTCTAGAGCATTAAGACTTCATTCTTGGCACAAAACATACACAGTATTATTTCCTAATCTGCTATAAAGTAATAGCTGTCAATTAAACCAATATTCTGACGTCTTCCTTTTAAAGCATTATTTTGCTTTGTCACTAATTTGCACAATACAATAATTTCATATAACTTTCCCAGCTCTGAGCACAAATTAAGCTCTATGTTACTGTCACTGGCTCTGATCGGCCATTTTATCTTTTTCCAGCTCATAACCCAGGCCTATAGAATGGGTGACAAGGAAATTCATGCTGATGAACATAATTCCAAACAAATTGCTCAAATAAATTGTGCTGCATCTCTCAGAGATAGCCACTTCCCCAAATGTCCCCTTTTACGCACGACGCGCTTGGCAATGGTGCTCTTCAGGTGTCAGGTATCATCTAAAGTAATGCATAACAGATTTCTTCTAAAAATATGCCACTTAAAAAAATTATGCTGCAAATGCCAACGGCTGTGCTGAAAATGTATCAAAGCAAACCGGCACAGGGAAATGGGGGAACAGATTCCATCTGCTAATGGCCGCGCTCACAGCTCGGAAGGGCTTGGGAACGTGATGCTCCATGGAGCGTGGCTCTGAGGGCACAACACAACTAGCACATTTGAAAAGTAATCCCACGATTAAAAAGAAACAATTGGAAAATGAAGTAGCATTACATTGCACGTCATTTCACAGATATCCTCCAAAAGAGATATCAGCCTAAAAAAGAATATATTAAAGAAAAATTGAGTCAAATAATTAGCAAGGAATCTTGGCGCGTGAAGCTGGCGAGAAGCTGCATTCAAACATTCTCCTTCCGTGTTGGTTGTCATTAAATGTTACCATGAAGGTATAAGAATACAAGAAATCTATCAACAGCAGAACTATAGAAATTTATCTTAGCAGAAAATTGTTCCTATGCAGCTGAATAATTAATTTCACTTGTCACTCAGCCTGCTACTGCTGTCTGCATCCCCTTTTGTCTAGTTCTTGTTAAACTCCTATTCAGCCGTCACTCAGCCCCAAGATGATAGGATTGTATAATAAACAAAATAATTAGTTTCCAAACTTGTAATACACTATAACATATTTCCTGGAATATTTTTTTTATAACTGTTATTTTGTATTCTCTCATGATTGAGAACTCATCTTACATGTATAAGAGCATTTGAAGAGAGGATAATTTTGCCATGAAACTGAATTTATGCTTGTTTAGGAGGGCAAAGTGAACAAATTTTGATGCACGTACCAGAACGTCTGCACCAGCCAAGTCAGCCCACACGTATTGACATGCATCCCAGAAAAATTACATATAGACAGAGCACATTCCCCTTCAGACTTCTTAAATAAGGACCACTATAAAAACTAGGTAACTCCCTTCGCCAGGGCAGTACCGGCAGCTAAGGCACTTCAGGGCAGACTGGCACCCTCTGCTCCACACCAGCGCTGGCACAGACTGGTAGCACTGAAAACAAGACACATGTCAGCTGAGGCCTTTAAAACAATCTTGTTAAAATGGCACAATCTCTTTAGTCTTAAATTATGAGTGAACCCCAGGAGCACAGGAAGCTCACAGGACTAACCTTACACTCCGTGTAACCCAACAGATTAAAAATATTGCAGAAAGTCAATGGAATACCTTTTCTTCTTTCCCGCTTCAAAATCCTTGTGAAATTGGAAGTCACTGATTAATTTCCAATGTCAATGAAGATATGGTAACAAGAGATGAACTCACAACTCAGAATCATTCCTCTCCAAGCACAGGCACACCGCATGCGAGGCCGCAGGGAGGACAAGCACAGGAGGGCATTTTCTGGGTGACTGGGTCCTTTGTGGTACAATGATGGGCACTGGCACAGGCAAGCAGGCTGCATACTTACCTCTGGCTTTCAGCATGAGCTAGAATATCAGAGTGCACAGAGGAATTCAACTCAAGAACCCGGCACTATCAGTTTACAACAACTCCTTCACCTGCACACAACCCATGGGCAGTAGGTAGCAGGCGGATGATTGCAAACTTGGGGTGGCGATTTCCCAAGCCTGGGTCTCTACTGGAGAAGCTGAGAGGGGGCCTGTCAGCTCAGCCGGTAGAGAGAGCTGCCCCGAGTGAGCAATGGTCCCCACACCACCCCGTGTGACGCCGTGCAAGCTCTGTATCTCAGCCTCAGGCACCTTCACCACCCCGTCTGCTCTGATTCCCACCAGCTACCACCTCCTTTAAGGGGAAAAAAAAAAGAACAGTTTTGAAGCACCTCCTCCGAAAGCTCTATAAATGAAGCCGTGCTCGTATAAACAATTAACCGGAGAGACGGGATGAGATGATGAGGGCAACTTCTGGTGGGAGGACAGAGAGGAGAGAGAGGCCAGCGAGACTGTTGGAGCTGTAGTGCCCAGAAGGCAGCACTGGTGCTCAGCTTTCCTGAGAGGGCAGCGGGGCTCCCGCTGGGTGGGGACATGGCCTGAACTCGGTGCTGGGGGAGTGCACTGCAGGGAAGGCACCTCCTGTTTGCTGCAAGGGCGCTGCATCGCAGCCTGCAGCACTCGGAGCCTACGGGATGCTACCTCAACAGAAAAACCACTTCATAACGAAAAAGCCCTTTGATTTACCACACCCCTGGAAACAGCAACTAATCCCTCCTCCGCCTCCCTCAGCTTAGTCTTCGGTGGGAGGTCTTCTCCTACCCACGTTCTCCTCCCTGGGAACTTGTGCCAGCTGAGCCATGCCCCGAGAGCTGGTGTCTCCAGCTCAGACAAACAGCAGTCCTTCACCACAGCAGGTTACAACAAACTGCAGAAAGACAGCACTTTGGACTAAAACAGCAAAACACTCATAAATGTGTTTGCTCCCCTTCCCTCTTCTCTGGGTACCAACTCATGTTATCACAGCATCCCTGACTCGCTCCTGCAACACTTCCTGAGCAGGCCAAGGGTTTGCTAATAGACAAGATCACTCTTTGTAAAAGGTTTTTCAGAACAAGCCAAAAATAGAAGGATGGCCCTGCCCTAATTACGACCATTTAAAAAATCCTTTTTAGTTTCCTTAGGGCTGGAAGTTTTACTGGCTGAGTTTAATTCAATGAACTTGGAGCAATGAAGTTCATTGGAGCTGGTTTGCACAAACAGTTTTCTTTCATGGAGGCAGCATTGGACAATGAGGTGCTGGATCCCAGAAGAATATTAAACATTTAATATACTGCCAAGTATGACATAAGATAAAAATGTTCTGTGAAGGATGAGCAGCAGAGCTAAAAAGCATAAAAAAGCTCATCCTCATCACTAGGCTGCTGCTGAGCACTGCATACCTCCAGCTATTGAACAAACCTGAATTCAAGAGCTTTTCCTTCCTTCAGTATTACACAGTGGCTTTTGCTAACATCAGACATGACCAGACGAGCAATTTCCTATGTAGTCAACTGTAAGCAACTCTTATTAATAGAATGCAGCAGTAATTTGCAGTAATTGTCCAAAACTGCAGTCTACTGAAAATACTGGTATTATTGATTTTGGACCAAAGCTGAAGCATTTTTATAAGCAAGATTAGGAGTTATTGTTCCCTAAAGAACTGGTTTTACTAGCTGTAGGAGAGTGTCACTATGAAAATGAATTTCAGTACTTTTCAGTATAACAATGTCATTTAAATTAATTTTCTTGGTAATTCCAGCACCCGAGGTGACAAACAGTACCCTGACTACTTTAGCTACAGCTTCTCCTCACTGGGTTAAAGACTGCAGAAACTGCCAGTTTTACAGGGTAAGGGTGGCAATAGGAAAGCACATTAGTTAACTTTTGCAATACACGAGCTCATTGAAGTAACTTCATGAGCCTCACTACCAAACACGCTGCCTGGAAGGCTGGGGGGAGCCTCAGCTCAGCAGAAGGCAGTGACAGCATTGCCACTGCTGTGACTAGAGCCAGATTTGAGCCTACATCTGTATCAAAGGCACGTCAAACACAGAGGCAGGGCTCCTACACACGTGTGTGCAGAAGACTGGTCAGTGCCGTACAAAAGGTGACATTTGAATACTCCTGGCAAAACTTCCAAACCCTCTTCCCTTAAGATCAATATCCAGTTTGGTGCAGCAATACACCTCCCTGTTGCAAGCAATGCACCTCCTTTCAGCTTTGCCTACCACAAGCTCCTCACCTTACCCTTGTTGCTACAGTTTTACCATTAAAGGGGACTACAATCTCTGTGTAACATTATGTCTTTGCCATGATCCTTGCTTAACTCTTATCTCTGGCCCACACTGTGATTAGGTGAGCAGCCACCCTTTCCCTCCCTGAGCTGCAGCCCCACCCCAGCATCTCAGCAGATCAGGCTTCCTCCCAGGCGCTCTCGTAGCACCAATTCAGGCCAGCACAGCCTCACGTGCTGGTACTGGTTTGCTTGACCCCTGCCCCAAAGAGCAAAGAAGCCCTTTCATCTCCAGGTCTGTGCTGGCACAGCTGGTCCTGGCAAGAAAAGCCTCTCAAAACCCGCTCTGCATCACAGCTAAATCATGGATGAGGACTGAAGCCTTGTCCTCAGGGATTATTACAGAGGCCAGATGCCATCACTGGTTTCTTGTACAGTCACCTCACTTATTTGCTCGGAGTAGATCCCACCAGTACTGGACTTTCTATCTGTTAGTTAAATAAGGTTTCCAAGCTCGACCAAGCCTGCTGATGATATTAAATAAGACCGTTTCTTTGAAAGAGCTACTGAGCAAGAAAATGGCTTTTTTTCTCCCCCATCACAATTAGTGAAATGGTTTTCATCTGCTTTCTTTTTTGGGGTTGGTTTTTTTTTTTTCTTGAGAAGCGAAATAACAGCCTTGCCGATTACTCTTTGCTAAGGTACCCGATTGTGGTGACATTGAGGCTGACCTTGGAGTCACCTCCCCCGCTGCCGCACTCTCCTTTGTCGTACCACCATTTGTTTTTCAATTTGTCCAAGAGGCCTTGCTCATTCAGTTTTAATACTGCCAGGTTAACAGCATTTCTTGAAACGATAAAACATAACTTGTAAGAAAAAATGCACAAATGCTTAGGAAATCGTAACGTATAAAAAAAGGAGCACAAGAGGACAAATTGGCTAAAATTTCACAGAACGTGGAGCTATCAAAATGTCTGTACAGCAAATACAGGGTTAAATATTGGAAGGTGGCATGGAGGATAACATTTGCTCAAAACTGAAGTGTGCGGGATGGGGAAATCGTCTTTGAGAAAAAAAGTAACAAGAACACCACATCATGCAGTTAACATTCGTCACATATGGCAGGTTAACTTGGCTTTTACCATTTAAATTGAAAAAGCCATTGAACTGTAAAATTAAAACAGCAACAAACAATCAGAAAGGACAACACGAAGAGAACACAAAAAATGGATGCATTAAATAAATGAAACCATAATTTACCGTCTTATTTAACTCCATGGAATATTGAAGATTTTAAACTTTAAAGTTACCTCAAAATCCACAAGAAAGAAAATGACAACACAATACATCAGGGTAGGTGGAATACTATAACAACATGGATATTGTTATATTATTCCACCCACCTTAATGCTGAGCCTTTGGGGGTTGCTACACCATAGCCCTTGGAATCCAGGTTGCCTCCAACTTTCATGGTGTCGCAGGGCTTGCGCTGCTCGATGTACTCGTTCATCGTCGACTCCAGCAGGAAGGCAAACTTCCCCTTGGACTTCCGCACCCTCGCCACCCCGTCCGCCGTCGTTTTGGTGAACACCGAAGGCTCGGCCGACTTCATGTACGACCACATTTTCTCGTAGACAGCTATTTTTGACCTCTGGGAGAGACAAAAGGAGGGAAATGAAGAGTCACGTTGGCAAGGGCACAAGGGCAAGGGCTCCTTGGGCTTAGCTGGCTTGGAGGTTTAATGAAACCCTGTAACTGATTAAGGCTAGCAAATAAAAAAAGTCAAGGTAGCTTGGAAAGAGACACATTGCCCAGTGAACAATGACAAAAACACAGAATGTCTGGGGAGGGGGAAACATATCTCAGACATCTATTCTACTAATCACCATGTAATTGGCAGCTTGGCAGTCGGAATGAGCAACGGTGTGTGCCTGTCCCAGAACTTGGCTCCTGTTCTGTGCTGGGTTTATCTGCCTGTGTGATGCTCTGCTACTGAACCAGAGGGAGGATGGGAAATCCCAGCTCATCTATATGGCCAACAGATGCAAAAGGAGCCTCTCCTCTTCACACAAATCCTCAGCATTGTTTTTTTTACACTAACTGCAGCTAGGGAGGACTGACATTTGCTTATTACAAGTTTTCAGCAAGGCAGGAGTCTGCTTTTCACAGTGCCAATGGCAGGTCTATGGTACAGGAGACCATGACATTCTAGTGGCTTCTAATAGTGGTGTTCACACAAGGAGTATAAATGCTAATTACAAAATCCTTTATGAGTCAATAGTCAAACTTCCAAGAGTTTTCACATTTACCTAAAAGATAGCAAACACAAGTATTAGTAATAAATTGAAAAAAATCTCTGCTTAAGTGCTTGCCTGTCATCTATATATATTTTTTCCTGCTTTCCTTGTCTTGAGAATGAGCCAATCCTAACAGCCTTTAGTTCAGCATACACGTTTTGTAAACCTGGAAATGTTGAGAAATGTGTTATTTCCCCTTCCCCCTCTTCCCCAGCAGTAACATTTAAACCACCCTCAGATCTCAAAGCCACCTCCAGACTCTTAAGTGTTCATATCCTCGACTACCAGTTAAACTTTCCTGTTTGGTCAACAGAAGGCAGTAATACTAACTGCATTTCTCTAAAGTCTAGAAATCCAAAGGATTTATATAAGGCTTTTGGTCTAAGCTGTGGGTATCTCGAATTTATGCCTCCTACTCCTTGCCAGTTCCCTGTCCACAGCTTTCCTCTCAGAACGGGAATGAGGCAGGCAGTAGGTGAATCTAGTTCAAATTTAGCAAACTTGTGGTGGAAGACTGCTAATGTCCATCAGCTTGATGATCAAGACATGTTTCCTCCTCATTCGGGACAATTTAATGCATTTTGAATAATGTAATGCTTAACAACCAGCCTCCAAACACTTCAGAGGGAGTAAGCCCTGCCTGTACTGCTCCTCAGATTAACATGCTCAGCTGGTGTTGCTACAACGGATGGAGAGGAGCACGGAGGGCAGGATTTTATTTTAATTATCCTTCCTGATGAGCTGAAAAACAACTGAAAATGCAAACCAATTAAAATCAGCCCAATCGACAACAGGAAATCAGAGAGACAATACAGCCCAGCTTGAAGAGGAGCTGGTTGGGTGGTGGGTGTGAAAAACAAGCAAGAGAGAGAGCATTTTCTGGCTAAAGAGGGGCTGTAGGGCTTTGTTTGTCCAGCACCAGGAGGAAGAGGGATATAAGTGGGGCCTGAAATGGTCCTTACACAGGTAAAAGAAGGAATCGGGATTTTCCTGACTTTCCCCTGCAACAGAAAACACTGAATACCCTGAGATAAGGATGGTGGTTCTGAAGCTGAAGGGGGGTGTGGCAGCTCAGCTCCTGGCCTGTGCCAGCCTCAGCAGGTGGGTTTGGAGAGGGGAGCTCTGAGCCCTGGCTGGCTGCAGGGCTGTGGGTCCTGCCCAAGGGGAGATGTCCCACTGGGGCTCTCAGACAGGCACCCATGGGCCGATGGCCAAACCAGGCTGTTGCCGCTCTGCGAGCACACTGGCCTGGATCTCCTGCTTTTCCAACCACCCCCTCAATGCATGTGGGCTGGCCAGGGCAGTGCACAGTGCCCAGGCACCCGCCAGAGGGGCTCTGGGGACCCCAGGGCTACCAGAAGTGCCAGGACGGGGTGGTTGTCACTGTCTCAGCAGCTGCCACCACCCTCGTGCCCTGTGGGCAGCACAGCCCCCGTGGCAGCGCTGTGCCCCTGAGCAGGCAGCAGTGCAGGCAGCACGGGCAGCCCACACCACAGCCCAAGGCACTGCCCACGGCCGGTCTGCCTGCTCTGCTTGTGCAGCTCCCTCAGGCAGAAAAGGAACATAAACAGCCTGGCTGGCCAACACATAGGCTGAGTGAGCAGTGGCAAACCTGGCGTGTCCCAGTTTCAAGGTTCTCTTCCTTATAACCTTCATCTTCTTCTAACATAAATAATACAAATGCACCTGCCCATTTATATTTGCAAATGGGCACCTAAGAAACAAAACAAAGGTATGAAACCTTTACTCTTATGAAAGCTTTACTCCTTCTCCTACCTCTCAGCAAGCTACAGCGGTGAGCCTTCCCAATTGTGCATGCACTACATATACTTTTGCTTGTTTTCTGTTTTCCTCTACAGAGCGTGCCTCTAATTACACAGATAAACCAGAATTTCTTTTCCTTTTAGTCTTCTGACTCACACCTGAATACCTGTCTGTAATAACTTCTTTCATACTCTTTCCAGCTGGCCAGACTAGCTGAAAGCAACAGCCAGTACATCTGTGCATTGTTTATAATCACAGTTATCCCATGAGTGCCAACAGCACACTCAGGGCTGCACATGGTCCAAACAAAGCACGTTCCCTGCTCCAAGGGCAAAGGGTGAATATCATCATTCATGCTTCAGAAAACCAAATTCCATGACTCAAAACCTGATCCCTTTTCAACTTCAACAAATAGCCTAAGCTTTAAAGTTTGCTGCCTTCATTTAACTCTTCTGGATGATGTGGTTAAAAATCAGTTCCCATTTCTATATGAACGTTGCCCACCTTTTCTTCTGCCAAGTGGGATTTTCACAGTATCTTGTTATTATCAAATAACCTAAATGAGAATAGCAATCTGATCTAGTAGAAGCAGACAAAAATGCAAGTGAGAAATGAACAGTATTGACTGGGAAAGGTTAAAATAAAATGCATCAGGCATGTGCTGGTTTTGGAGCAGAGAGTCCAGCTGGGGGGGTCTTGGTGAGGACCCACGGCTGTCCTGGGAGAGAGGACCAGGGAGGTGATGGGCTCTGGCCACTGAGTCCTGCTTGGTTAGTGCTGCTTTCTGCAGCCATTCACCTAAATTCATAATGAGGCCAAAATAATGACTTATGATGAGGCTTCTTGTAGAAAGGGACACTGCACACTCACTCAGCAGTGCTCAAGGGTATTTTCTGCCCCAGGAACCATATTTTACACCTGCTCAATGCCATGAAACAACTTGTTGACTAAAGCTGGTCAAAGATGCAACAAGATGAAATGAAAGATGATATTTTGAGTAAATATTTACATTTTCCCAATTTTCCAACTGCCTCAACAAAAACCAACTACCCTAAAAGATTTTCAGAAAAGGAAAATTTCTTTCCTTTCTAACTATAAAGCTGCAAATCCTTTGCTGAAAGAAGATTCTCACCCATCTGTCCTCCTCTGCAGACATTCACGCCACCCCTCCCAGTCCCCTCCAGGAGTCTGACACCCATAAGGGGGGCCAGACAGCAGAAGCAACCATAGGGAAAGGATTTACACTTCAAAATAAGGTAAAGTCTGACAGATCTGCACTGTTGTTACAGTTCAGCGTCAGTAAAACATTTTCTCTCTCATTAAAGTGTTACTTTTAAAGAGATACTTAGAAAAAAAAGCTTAAAAGCAAAGATTTAAACCAATTCAAAGCCCATAACTGCAGTAACTCCCTATGCTCTGCAATTCTTATTTCATTTCTTTGATATTGCTCTCCAGAAGTCCACCACACACATTTCCTTGGGATTTCAAGGGGATATTATTATCATTTTTTTCTTAAAAGCAACATTTTCAGCGTTTCATCTAGGCCCTGGGACACATTAAAGCGTCTTTTCATTATCACAGCCTTACTGCAGATATAAATAGAGCTGGCCTTTGCTTTGTCAATAGTGCTGCCTTTTTTTTTTCTTTATTTGAGATGTTTATGCAGAAATATGAGCCACCAACACCTCAGCCAAGGGTGCAGGCAGCTCCCTTCCATGTCAGCAGAGCCAGCAGCTCTCGTGCCGACGACTCACTTCACTTGGCCTGTTACTAATCGGTACCTAAATACACATTGCTTCTGGGTAGCAAAGCATTCGTTTGAAAAGAAGGTGCCAATTCAATCAGTCCACAATTTTAACACTGTCTTTCATTCTAATTCCCCCAGTTTTGATGTGTGCTTGGCTCCAGTAGTGAAATGAGAAATCAAACAACCCCACAGGGTGTGAGAGCATCCAAAAGTGTGGCCGGCCAGGGCTGGGTGCACCATACACACAGTGGGAAGGAGGCAGGTTTGCCTCTCAGTTGCAGTTATTTCTTCAACCTATCCAACCACCAAAAAACCCAGCACTGTGGCTCCAGCTGAATGAAACCAGATGCCTTGGTTCGCTTTGGCACATCCCAAATCACCTAGAGCTATACAGCAAAGCTCAGCACATGTTGGACAATTCCTTGACATTGGTTAAATTTAGCTCTAAAATACCTTTGTGGCTGAAGCCTCCTCCCACTGACCAAATTACCTTTCCCCTCTGCAGATATCTGCTTCTGCCAGAAGTGACACTGCGTCACCTCCTCCACTACCGAGCACCAGTGAATGTTATGTTTGAAGGAAACAGTATTTATCCTCTGCAGTTCAAAGTATGTTACAGGGATGTCCTTTGTCTATTTTAGAACATTTACCCCTCCTTGCCACCTTCTCCACAACCTGTAGGTCTTCAAAATGCCTGGCTCATGCACCCTGTTCAGATATTTTACTAAAATGACCAAAATGGTCCTTAATTTCTTATGGCAGGCACCACGAAAGGATTTCCCAGTAGTCAAGCTTAAATTTTTCTATTATAGGTGATGATTGCTGATCACCCAGCCATGATGA